TTATTTACAAGCCGGCCAAGGAGAGGCCTGGTCCGATCTAGCCAATGGCTTGCTGTTTTTTTATATTTGATGAGCTTTAAATTGAGTCGAGTTAGTGACACTTGCTTGGACTTTGGACTTTTAGTCCCAAGAGCCAAATTAATTTATGCGCATTTTCAAAAAAGTATTTATCTAGAAACTATTTCAGGAGATATTTCACAGTCGACCAAATCACACATATAGCTAACAGCTTGATTGCAATTCAATTATTTAGAGCCCGAATTTGGCCTAAACTTTTTTGATACATTTTGCAAACAATTTGATGCATTCATTTTCCGCACAATTTCCATTCATTTGGGGGAACACGGCGGCTGCTGCCATTGATTGATAGGCAGCTAGTTCAATCTGCATTGTGCACACACTTGATTTCATATTTAATTTAAGCAATTGGCAAACAAAAAACATTCAATTGACCAAATTTAATTAAAATATTGGAGCCTTGCTGACTGGCACTGTAAAAACCCTTTTTTTTTTGGGGGGTGTTCTCTTTGTCTGCTAAATTATGTGGAATTTGTAAATAGTTTCTCGAGTAGCGCTTATGGCCTTTATATGCAAATGTCTTGGACGGACGATGGAGGAGCAAGCGAGAGCAAGCGAGAAATCGGAGTCATAAAAATGTATGTTGTCTTCCTTTTTGGCAGGACAAATATGGCGACAGAAAAGAAGAGCGTGCCAGCGAACGTTGTGGGGAAAATTCAATGGTCCTTGCTGGTTGGAAAACACATTGCGAGGGCCGCATATTTCACGTTACTTATCTTTATCATTGCCAACTAATTTCACAGCCACCGTGGAAGTGGAAGGGGCATCAGGCATGGAGCAAGGGGCAAGGCAATAGACATGTAAACACACAGACCCACAAACAAATTTTGTGAGCCTGAATACGAAATATTTGTTTATTTCTAGTTCATATCTTTCATGTGCGCTACACTTGTTTCCCTTTCATTTCGCTTTCCTCCTGCCACATGCCACATGAGCCGTACTCCCAAGCCTGTTACTGTTCGCTTTTCCTCCCTCCCTTCTTTGCTTTGTGGCATGTTTGCGCCATTTTGCGTTTTTGTTTATGTTTGGCTGGGTCATTGCGGGCATTCCTTATAGCATATGATACATACGTATGTGCCGAGTGTGCGTGTGTGTGAGAGAGCAGGACCCTCGCTTTAAGTGTTTTTATTGTCTTTTGCTTAGGGTTAAGTTTTGTCATTGCCACGCTTTGTTTATGGCCACCTCTTGCCCTTTGTCCCTGCCGGCGCTCGATTCCGGAATCCCTGCTTTTTTTGCGGACATGCCATCGAGCTAATCCTTTTGTTTTATGGCCTTTAATTTATTTTTAAAGCCTTCTGCCGGCACAACTTGTTTATAGGCCGCAAACAAAACGGCCGGGGAACCCAAGTATAAAAATATATTTGTTTGGCATACTTTTCTTGAAAGTACTGAAAGAAAATACTTTTCTTAAGAAGAATACAATTTTTATAATCTTGTATGACTTCTAATAAACGTATTTTCTGGTTATAAATAATCAATATTCTTAAAAAAATTTAATTAAATAAATATATTTTATAAAATATATTTTCTGTGCACTCCTCCCCCATTTGTTTGCTCTGTGAATATTGCAGCGCTTTTCCGGAAAAACATGCAACAGGCCATGTCCTGCCGCTATAATTGGCTCCAGCCCACAAAACAAAAAGAGAGCAGATCCGAAGCGACAGAGTTTGAGACCAGAACATGCTCAAGTAATTGGCTACAAAACTGCAACATAACAATAACAATTCAATATGCCGGCAACAGATGCCAGATGACTCAACCCACCGAATATTAACCGAAAAGCATCCACCACCCCCTAGTGTCAGTCTGCTCTGGCCTGGCCTGCACTTGTAAGCTTGGCCTAATTGGCTCTCATTACATGAAAGAGTTCTGCGTGGGGAATTCTAAGCGCAAATAAGACTCATTTGGGTGTGTGGTAATGAGTTTGAATATGGCCACGCCCCGAACATCTGCTGATGGCCATCGAGGGACTCTAGACATGTCCAGAAATCGCTAGGATCTTATGCAGAGAAAAAAATATCTGTACAATTATTCTGACCTCAGAACAAATGCGAAAGTATACACATTTTTCTCCATTTTTTAAAGGTAAATCCCTCATGTTTTTTTCTCTGTCATTTCTATTTTTACCCGTAGCTGGTTTTATGGTTTCCCAATTGTCTCTCGCTTGTGAGAATTGTATTTGCTTACCTATATTCAATGGAATTCGATTAATCTGATTCAGCTTAGTATTCCGATTGTGATTGTGTGCTAGCTTGTAAGAAGTTTTCCAAATAATTGTTCGCCATTACGCCCACACAAAGGCCAGGTGACCTTGAGCTAATGGCTGGGGATGTTAACTTAAAGTGCTTTTTGGTAATTGGACCTTCAGTAAGCTGCAGCTTTAAGAGGCTTTTCAAATTGGTTGCCAAGTGAAGCTTCAGACAATGTTAATATGCCGTTCCATGGCTCATTTAGGTAAAGTGGAATGTTATGAAATATTAACGAATGCTTTTCAATGCAATGTTTTTCTTTAATCTTGGCGTGCTTGTTATTCTTTGCTTTATCGTTTAATCTCCAGGAATAAAATCTAAATTCTTGCGTCCTAACACAAAGTGATAAGCTCCTAATTGTGGTCTGCTGGATGAAGTTTAATTGAATTGTGCATCAGTTACCATCAGTTAGTAAAAGGCCAAGCCACAGACAGGAGGAGATCAGGAGTCGGGATGATTGGAAGCTCGGAGTTCGAAGTTGAAGAGTGCTCGATGCACTCAAAACTAATGCCCTAATGAATGGTGATGCCCTGAAAGGCACTCTGCCTGCCACTTTCAACTGGCACACACACGCACACAATGGCTATCGATTTCGCTTGGATGGCCAGAAAAGCAGATAATGTTTGTTAGGGTGTGTGTGCGATAATAAAACCATTGGCAGAGCGTTTCAACAGGCCGTTTTCACGATGTACGTGTCTGTCATTTTGAATTACAAGACGCGTCTAAATGTAAAACGGGGCGTATGAGTAACGCCTGGGAAATTGCTGTGCTTTGCATTTGTATGGAACGCCATATACTCCCAAACTGCCAACTTGTAGCATAATTGTGCGTCGTTAAGTTTATTATGAAGTGCCATCACACACACCACCATACAAAGGACACTGACAAGCGCACACCAAGAGACACTCGCTTGAATGCCAGAGCACTTTAAGTCAAGCAATTGGAAACTAAATTGGAATTTTTATGACAGGCATCAGGCGGAGCTGGAGAAAGAGAATGAGCTTGGCCATCGCAGGGCTATGGCGTTCAGTTTTAGCAACAACGCAGACTCTACATGCACAATAGCCTCCGATGGGCCACGGGGCGTATACGTATTGTGTGTGCGCATTTGACCGACAACGGCCCACACAGACACACACCCATACATGGGCAGATCTTGCACATAAATACAGTTATAATGCGTTTTGCATTTGTTAAATTTCCCTCAGGCCCCGTTTTTGGGTATCGGGGGTTGGGGCGGTTATGGCCTTTCGACATATTAAGCGTTGACATGACTGAAATTCACGCCTCACTTGACTTACGGGGCTTCTGGGGTCCTTTCGGCCATTGCTGTTCATTGGTCTGTTGTTGGTCGAGAATGGGTTAATAATAAATGCCAAAATGCATTTTATGTATATTTAATGTGGAGCTGAATAAGTAAGAGAAAAAGACTTGGGTAATTGGATATAATTTTTGAGATTCAATTTAATTTGAATCGATTAAAGCTAAGAAACTAAGTGAATAGCCAACAGGGAGTATGACTTTTAAAGAAATCCTCAAGTCTTAAAGTTAAACTAACTTAAAATCTTTTTTTCATAAATATTTGAAATATTTAACTGTGCTTTAAAATACCATAGTAAACATTTTTCAGCCACAAAATGGCTAAACCTATTAAGGCTTATAAGATTTCTTTGAATAATTCCCGCAATGAATGAATGGTCTTTGAGTGGCTCTCCTATTTTCCTCTACAGCGCAGAACTCCCAGTGGAAAGATTCTTGCTGACTTGACTTTTCTATTGCTGCCGCCTGCAGCAATTGCCACACCACCTTCCCAGTCCCCACTCATATGAGTGCCTTTTGATATAACACATAATAAAAATATATTTGAGGGCGTGTTTATGGGCGTATGCAGAAGCTGTTGCTGTTGCTGTTCTGTTGCGTTTGGTGTTCGCCTCCTGGCCATTGGCAAACACTGTTGGCAAAATCTGCTTTGGGTTTTTAAATGTCTATGTTTGGTCTTCTGTGGGAGTTTGCGTTTGTGGCTCTGGAGTTGGGCTCGTTTGGATGCGGTTGGCCCAGTCATTGCATTGCACACTTCCATTATTTAAGCCAAGTTTCGCAGTAGAAAACTCTATCCATCGGAGTTTTGTTAGTTCATTAAACTTGCTTTCGCAATTCAAGAGAAATGAAATTAGCAACAAATCAAACTTCCATTGAGCAAGTTTCTGCGGTCAAATGATGGCCAATTTAAAACTTAATTACCAAGGCAGCTCGAGTATCCTTCACTCACTCATATCGTACAGTTTGTCGGTGTGCCTGGTGGCTGGTAGTGTTGAGCACTGAATTGCACTGGAGCACTGGAGAAATCCGAACCGAAGGACAGGCATCAAGTGTCGCCTCGAGAAACGCCATCAACATCATCTTTATCCTTCGTCCTCGTGCTCGCTCTTCATTCTCGACACACAATTTGGTTTTATTAACTCAAGAGAGCCAAGCCGAGCCGAGCCAAGTCAAGGAGCAACGAATGAAATGAACCGCGCACTGCTCCAGCTCCAGCTTCAGCTTCAGAACTGACTCCCCAGTTGGCACTCAGAAATTTCAAAAAAATGAAAAGAGAAAAACGTTTCCCAACAACCACTTAAACTTGCCGCATTAAACAAGAGACTCGAAGTGCTTGGTTTTTATATTTTGCATAATTTTATTATGTTTTATTTGTTCTGTTTTCGCTTGATGGTTTTCATTTTAGTAATTTTCGTTACATTTAACTACACAGACTTAAGGGCTAGAAATCATTGCTGCAGCTGCACAATTCGATATTTACACTTAATCATTGAAAGCCGTCCTCAATACCTCCTCAATCGTCACTGTTTAGTTAATCGCCAATGCCGCTAAGACAGTTAAAAGTTATGTCCACTAATTAAAAATTGCTAAATATCTCTTAAGTTAGACAATTAGTTTATTTTGATTACTCTGTTCGGTTCTCGCTTTTCGATTTTTGGTTTTTTTTGCCATCTTTTCTCTTTTGATTAACAACTTTTTGCCAAATTTTTGTTTCTTAGCCATAAGTACTTATCAACTTGTCTCTTCCCTTAACTCTCTGCAATTTTTTTGCACTTCTTGCAAATAACTTTTAGCCACACTTAACGATAATAGTTTATTTATGTAATTTAGTTTAACAAATAATTTATTTACAGCTTAATTCTCAAAGTTTATTCAAAGAGCCTTTTCTCGAGTAAAACGAAATGTCTTCAGCTAAATCCATTTTAATCAGTTAAGTGGTTGTCTGTACAATGCGGCATAAATCAAATCCCGATGATTGAGTGCTTGGGGCTGAAACTATGTTCCTTAATCGTAGAGACTTGTAAAAATATGAATTCTAGATATCGAAATGCACAAACTATATATATATGTATATGTATATAAGTTTTTTTTCGGTCAGTTCTTAAGGTTGAGCTGAGTAACCCCCACTAGTTGTTAAGTGAGTCAGTTTTTCGGAAAACCATCTGCTGGATAAAAGCTCCTGGTGCCTCCTGGTTCTCTAATAGTCTGCAAAGTTTACCTTTATACATTATGTGCGGCATGTGGCATCTAAGCTGCTGCTGCTGCGGCTGTGGCTGCTACTGCTGCTGCATCTTGTGGCTAAGTATGACACTTACACATTAACAAAACACACTCACACAGAGACACATACACATATAAAAGGAGTGTTGTATACACGCACACCTGGCGGCGCCTCACCTGCTGATTGATGGCTCAGCTTGCGGGGCCTGCTCTTAGGTAGCTCTTAGATTTGATTCTTTTCTTTTGATAGTTTTTGGCTTAGGCTTTAGGTATTAGGTTTTTGGTATTTGGTTTTTTTCTCTTTGGATTTTAGGTGTATGGTTTAGTACGTATGTTGGATGCTGGGCCTCGAGAGATGCCATCATAGTATTTTAGAAGTAGAGAAATAACTAATTCAAGATTATGGCTAAGGTTCCGTCTGTTTGGCTTCCCTCTCTTCCATGACATAGTTACAAATGCGTCCTCCAGCCGTCGTCCTTCCTCTTTTCCGTCCGGGCTTACAGCAGCTGACCCATCTACACGATCTTCATATATACACTCGTGTGGAATATCCGATAGCCGCTGGCAATGATTATCATAATCATATGCAGCTGCGACTGCATTGTCTTCGTGGAGCCGCCCACATGTCCGTGATACATGGCTGCCGGATTGTCGCCTGAGTATGGAACAAGAAAGTGCGGAAAAAAGCAAGTATGGGTGAGAATATGAAAATGAAATTTGCACAAAAATTTAATTAAAAAAACACACAGAGCCAACAGCTTAAAAAGGAGACACTCACACACAAACAGAGAATCCTGGCGAAATGTGAGCTTAACCAACAAAATGCTAATGAGCGTCGTCGCTTCATCGCGCCAGAAACTTATAAATTATGACAAGCACTAACTACGTGGGCACTCTTTGTTTGTGTTAGTCTCTCCTGTGTCCTCCCATCTCCCCCTCTCTTTCTTGGCCTTAATTTCTGTCTCTTTCACTCGCTGTGTTTATGAGCTGGCTTTTAATAGCAGTTTGCCTGCCAAATGGCTGGCTGCCGTACGCCGTGCGCGGGCATTTTTAATCCACATGCTTGCGGCCGTGTAATTTTCATAAATTACTTTTATTGTTTTCTCTCTTAGCAAACGCATATAGCATTACACACTCGCACACACAGTGGCTTGCCAGATATATGAACTCGAAAAAAGGCTAACGGATGCCCAGATACAGATACTACAGCTGCAGAGATACAGATGTACAAATATTACGGATACTCAAATGCACAGTCTTTTGTTTATTCAAAGTTTTAATTTCGTTTGGCGGACATAATTGAAATTTCTCTGGCACAGGACTCTGGCAATTAAAATTCGATGGTGCGCTTTACCGCAAGCTCATATTTTAAGTTTAAATTCCATTAACTATTAAAAACTGAACTCTAGCACTTTGCCATGCATTTCCTATAATTTATTAGCTGAATGGCATTGTGTTTATAAATCCTCAATTTATTCTTCGTTCAAACTCACCTTTGAAGATGTGGACTAGGACGCTGGCAGGCTGCGTGTTGCTAGCCACGCATGTGAAGTTACCGGAGTGCTCCCGCCGTGTCCGCTGAATGGTAAGCTCCGATGATTGAAAGTCTGCAGCGAACAGAAAACGTCAAGGGGTTAAGGCGGTTGAAGTGACCGAATTGGGGGGGTAACCAGCACTCACCTGGCTCTGTGGAGACGTTAATGCCCCGATCGATGTCGTAGTTAATCATGCGGTTGTCGTGATACCAGAATATATACTCCGATGCCTCCGTATTCTGCACCACTCGGCATTGCAGGCGAAGCGTGGACCCGGGCGTTAAGTATCGAATTGGGGGTCCCGAGATTTCGGCACGCGCTTCTAACATAGAAAGCATAGAGTTATATTTGTCGAAAAAACTATCTTTGATCCAAACTTAGGATTCCTTTCCAATGTCCCTTGTCAGTTCAAAGGTTTTGAACCCCTGGGGTCAAAAGCCAGTCAAAGTCAAATCCCTTATTATCATCTGACTAAATCGGTTAGCATCTATCCCTGACAGTTATCAATTTCCCTCAGAAGCCCGCCGAAAGTGCCCCACAAATTTATGAAATACATCTGGCAGCCGGCCCAGATCCATTTTGCTGAGAGGAAAATGTGTAGCACAGTTTCTGGCTGGGCTGTCACATCAGTTACCATGTATGTGGGCCAAAGTGAGTGGCTTTGTTTTTGTGGAAGCCGGCAAGACGGCAAGTCGGCGGAAGAAGCAGAAAAGGCCATTAGGCGCAGCACATTCAAAGTAAATTGTTTGTTAAATTCAGAATAATGTGCGTCAGTTAGCCAAGGACAGCGCGATGAGTTGAGTTGAGTTTAGTTCAGTTCAGTTGAGAACTTGCTGAGTCGTTGCCATTTGGCCCGAAAACTGAGTTTGCAAGTTGAGAACCCCTTTCGGTCGTTCAGCCTCTAGATAGTCACCATCAGTCCCATGAACCCCATCAACTACCATGTCCCCCCACACCTGCTTGGCTCCTGGCATATGGACATTTCTAATTTCAGCTTGAGCGCACAGAGAGTACGTAACAAAAATTGTGGAAACAACTAACTGGGTCCGAAAAACTCATTCTGTAGACTTTTCACTGGCATTTGTTTATTCCGTTTTGGGTCTGAGCTTGGGCTCGGGCTCAAGCTTGGGAAATAGAAAACAGAAAAACCCATCTAGGCGTGAAATTATAGAAAATCGCCAATGTCCAGACCGACAGTGCAAAAACAAATTCGAAAATAGACCTAACAACAAATCGAAACCGTAACCTGGGCAATACCTGGTCAACGTTTCCGGCCTCTACTTACCGACGACACTCAGGTGCAGGAAAATCGAGGTGGGCGGATGGGTGGACACCTGGCACTCGTAGACGCCGGCATCACGTAGCTGCACGAATTTGATTTGCAGTGTCCAATCCTGTAGGCGTGAACAAATAGGCCCGGCCAGAAGGAACGAACCAGAAACCAGAAAGAAATGGTTAGTATTAAAGAGCGTTGCCTAGAAGTCAATTTGCTGCGCTGCAGTTGCGAAAATATTTTGCAAATATTCCGCACAGAATTTTTGTCACGTATCGGCCATTTCGAGGCCGACCAGAGGAAAAAGTCTACAATGCAGCAAATATTCACCGGAGGGTGAATAGATGGAGGATAAGACTTGACACTGTGAGAAATATTTTCCAAAACTACATTTTTATGGGCATTTTATTTATCAGTTTGATACAAATTTTTCTTAAAGTGCAAATATCTTGAAATTTGTATGCAAGCCTCTGGTTTCCGATGCAATCAGCTCAACAAATTTCACCGCTCGCCATCAGAAATGCAAATTACTTTTCGCAGGATACGGGACTCACCTCGGAATGTTTCAAGTGCGTCGCACTGAACCGCTCATCGCTGCTGTAGGTTGTTAAGCCGACCGTAAGCAGATGATAATCCTTTTTGCGTATCCACGATACCTAAAAATAGATGAATGGGTGAGAAAAGAGGGTTAGATACTGCGGCGCCATTAGCCAAATACAATAGGGATTCGTTTGCTTCAAGGACTTCAGTTTTTTTCTCCCCAAAACGCCTTTTTTTCTTGTTGTACTAGAATATTTAACATATGCTCAGTCCGAAGAAGATGGGTCCGAAGCCTCTGTCGTTTTCAAATGTTTGCCAATCCATCAAGATGGGACTAGGACGATGACAACGACTTGATGATGATGCAATTTTCCAAAAAGGCACCAAGGATACAAAACGGTCGAGAAAAAAATCAAAAAGCAATTACGTGTAAGAATTACTACAACAGCAACAATAAACATAATAGCAGATTGATTGATCCTAGGTTCAAAGTTCAAATTGGCTACCTAACTGTAAATAGACAAACAAACAAACAAATGGGCGGGGCAGCTGGCACTCCGCCCCCTGAACAAATGGAGGGCGTGTGCGCCCATGGCCCATGCCCCAAGCCCCACGGACACTCCCCTTTTCGATTTTCCTTTCCTTTATATTTGAGAGTGGGCCTGAATGTGACTTTAGCTAATCTTAAATGACCATTAATCATTTCGTCATCTAGTTTTTGCGCACATTTTTTTCGCCGATGATGAAGGCACGCACACCTACACACGGAGAAAAAATAATAAATTACATGTTTGATGAAGAAAGTTAGAGTCCTTTACAGGAAGCTACTCCTTTGGAGCACTCCAGGAAAGTTGGCAACTTTAAGTATATGATGTTTCTCTCTGCACTGGCTAGAAAATACATCTATTAGCTGTCCATATGGGGTTATTGCCTGACGAAGATGATGATGCTGCCGGTGCTGGAAAGGATCAGACTCCGGCCCAAGCACCTAAGCGCGTGTATCAATCAATTTTCAATTGATAAGGATTTTATTTATTGGCCAACAAAAAAAGGAGAAGTAACGAAGTAAAAAGAGCGAGCATTTACTTTCAACTTTCTTGCCAAGCTTTCTTTCTTGCCTTCGTTTCTGGCCAAATATTGACACACGCGCGCTCCTGAAACTCAAACTGAAACTGCCGCAAACACAGATACCCTGGCTAACTCACACACTGGCTCAGACACACCCAAGAGAGCAGGCAAGCAACTTGAAATTAAGTTGAATGGCGGAGAAATTGTTAAATCAGCTGCGTTTGCCAATAAAAACGAATTACATTCTCCGTGCTTAAATGTTTAATGCGGCGTATACGCAATGTGGCGCAGCGGCGGGCGGGTATATGGCGAGGCGAAGTTGCGAGAGCGAGGGTTGAGGGATTTCCCCATGGCCCAAAACATTTCTCCTAAATATCATAATCCGACACAAGTCGCAGTGAACTCACAGTTTAGGTAATACATAATATCCTTGCAGTTTTGCTCGAATGCCCGCACAAAAAACAATATTTCAACGTTTGGGGGAAATTTGCAATTGAATGGCGAGCGAGCAGGAGGCAGTCGTTTATTATCAAGATCCTGCCCGGCATATGCTAGCGAAATCTTTCTTTGCTATATATCTATTCAATACAATCTGTAACAGTAAAATCCAAGTGTGAGGCATAAATTGCGCATAAATTCCCTTTTGGCCCGCAGCTCCTAGACGACGCCAACCGGCTCCGTCGACGCCCAGGACAAATGTGAAACGCTGGCATTTCTATGCCCCTTGAACACACATCTATATATACCCACAAATATATACAGATATGTATACATATATATATTTTTTTAGGATTTTTATGATATTTATGATGGCAAGAGGGACTGCGACTCCGAGTTCTGCGACGTGTCTGCAAATAAACCATGCAGCTAGCTAGCTGGATAGCTCGCTCCTAGCTACCCAGAAGAAAAACACAAGATTCCCATGGAAAGTGTGTAGAGTGGAAAAGGGTGCCAAGTGAAGCCATCAGGGGGAGTAAAATGTGGCGGCAATTAATCAAAAGCCTGCGAATTCCTTTTCCTTTTGGCAGGACTTTTTATGTGACTGCATGCGAGTCCTTTAGTTGGAAACTGTGCGACTGGGCGAGTGTGTGTGTGCGTATCGCATAAATCTCAGCCGCCTGTCGTGCGTAAACGTGGCAGCATATATGCGTGTTTGTGTGCCAGTTGGCATCTCCTGTGAATCCTGCGGCTGCAGCTGCGGGCACGCAGATAATTGTTTACATTTTACCTTCTTTTTTTTTTTGTCAGCCGTATGCAAAATAAAAACTGAGGCTTAATTTATGGCCAAAAGCTACAACGCGCACACACCACAAATCACTTGTTAGCAAATTTATGGCAAATTTATGCTAACTACTTGTCTACCCGGTTGTATCGCTAACAGTTTTCCAAAAGGTATGGCCTATCTATACAGTCAAAGGTAGTTCAATAGGGAAAACATACCTTTTTTAATATTTCTTCTGAGGGACAAGAACTAAATCGTATTAAATTAAAAAAAAGGTACTTTACATTTGAATTCTTAAACAAAAAGCTCCTAATCCGTTGCCCCTGGTTGTATATTTGTTTAGCCTGCCAATGCTCTAAATGTCGACTTATCGCGGGATCTCGATCTCTGACAGTCGGCCCCATATGCAGAATGTCTGGATTGTGGCACAGAATTTGTTGCACAGGCACCGCGATGGGTTGGTACAGGGGGGCAGAGGGTGCGGTTGGTGGGTGATTGGGTAATTGCATGGCTTGGTGGCTAAATCTATGCACAAGCCGATTGTATCGAAGTTTGTATTTAGTTTACTTTTTACCCATCGCTTCGTTGTTGAAAAACTTTTGATTGGCTTTTGTTCTGCTCGATGTTGCATGTTGCTGTTGTATTAGCCATGTTTTTGTTGCCTGCTATTGACGCACATTTTTGTGTGCTTTATGTGCCGCTGTCCGACCAATTTCCGCTCTGCCACAATCCCAACGGGCAACACAAACCGGGCAAACCCGTCAACCGGCAGGGGGAACAGTGAGAAAGTTGCAAAAAAAAAGGCAGTTGCAACTTTTTCAATGTGAAAAAGTTTTTAACAAGCGATTTTAATAAAATTCTATTTAGAAACTGCTGCAGTAGCTGCACCAACATCAGCCATTTTGGTTGCAACTTGTCCTATCCGAACAAATGAATACAAGAGTGTTTGTGTGGGGCTTCCATTTTTGGGGGTTTATTTTCACATGCGGCTACAGTTCGGCACTCAGATCCCAGAGGAGTATTGGGGATTTCAGTTTTTCAACAAATATTTCATCTTTGATAACTAAAAGCCTATCTCTTCGTATTTGTTTTGAGTTATTTAAAAATCTATCTGACAATATTTAGTTTAGAACTAATTCCCTTGGAGTAGAGTGTCTGAATTTCACCAATTCAACATTCAAGCCCTCGAACTCTCGTTTACGCCTTTTACGCCTATTGGGACCACTCTTTAAATTGCAGTTTGGAAAAAAAATAGAGAGAAAAAATACAGTGGAAACTGGAAATTTGCACCATTTAGTATCGCTGGGTTTGCCCGACTGCCACTTTTATAAATTCATGTGCTAGTAAATATTTGAGTTGACAACTTTATTGTTCGCCCTGCAACTAAATTCAGTTTTTCTGTTTCTGTAAAATCGATGTTTCCTCGTGCTCCCATTCAGCGGCAATCATACATATGTAATTGAGGGCAATCGAAACTCGAATAGAGTTCAATTCAGCGGAAATGCATATTAAGTGCAATTATTGCATAATTAACCAGGCACTTTAAAAACACTAATTGCAACTCTCTATGCTGAAATTAGAGAGAACCTAGAATCAATCAGAGTCATCGTGGCAAGGCAAGTGACATTCCCTTTTAATTAATCAAATGTAGTATTCACCGAGGACCGATTAAATGCCCCAACTCTATGAATATTTTCCCACATTAACAAAACCTTGGGCCCACCGACAAAAAATACCAAACAATCAGCTATTATTCCTGATAAGAGCCGCAGGACAAACAATGAAGAAAAAATAAGTGGAAATGAAAATAACCATAGCCTACTTTTCAGCAGCTGTCAACACAGGCCCTGCGTGAAATGCGATTGTTTTTTCTCCAGCCGAGTCGTATTCCCGCATTTCCATTCAAAGTTAATGGCAGGCATTATATTTGTGGGACCCGGCCATTGATGATTGCATTGCAATTAAAATAATTAAGATTTTTTTCCAGGAGTGTGAGTATAAGGTTATGGCTGTGAACTCTGCTTCTCCACACGGTCTTTTGTGAGGCCGGGACTAATTGTTTTAGGTTGGGGTCATTTCTCTCAACCTGCTTTTGCTTTGTGGGGGGAAAAGTTTATAGAAATGATGAAGCCATTCTGCATACTCGCAAGATGCCAACTCAAACAAAAAATCTGGGTCAAATTTAGCCCTTTTGTTTCGGGACATTTGTTTTAATAAACATTGTGACAGGCAACAGCAGTAGGTGTACACAGTGAAAAACAAAATATTCATAAAGTATGAATAGTATTCCTGGGAATGGAATTTATCTTTTAATGAAACTATATTTAGACACAACAAAAGAAAATACCACCTTTTTTTCTATTAAACCTCATTTATTATTAATTATTTTCTATTGTGTATTAACAACAGGATCTTTAGCCGAAAAGGATACTCCAAGAGGTCGGCCTGCCTCATCAAGCTGTCGACTAGAATGTCTTATTAGCTGGCAAACAACTCCGGACCATTGTCCTTCCTGTCCGCCTGTCCATGTCCTTGTCCCCCTTGAGTAAAGTTGAGTTGGTTTAATTACGGTTAAGGCTGCCAGCAACAAAGTGATAATGATTTGTATTCATTCGAAAAGGTTTATGGCAATTTTCGAGGCACATTAACTTCTCGGACCGGCGCCCCCCAAGTGCCTGAATTTCATTTTGCTCTGCTGGTCTTATAATGAGCTTAGTCCTGGACAGACGTCAGACATTCTTATACACACGCATTCCAGCGATATTTCTAATTAAATTGGTTCCTCAAAATAGACATTTTTATGGTATTTATATTGGCCTTTCTTCATTTGAAATGTAAATTGTTGGCAAGGGAAAACAAAGACAAAGTCTGGCCAGGACTTTAAATATTGATTCCCAATTTAATTAAAAAGGACAAACCAAATTTCAATTTTCTCTAAAGAAACGAATATTCTATACAATTTTTATAACATTCTTGAATCTGATAATAAAATTTATATGGAAAAAATAATTAGTAACAAACATTGAAGCAAACATAAGAATTATTGGAAATTTCCATTTTTAGCCTGCGGTCTGGAAGGAACATTTTCTCCATGGGTTCAATGATTCCTGCCTTTCCTTGAACTTTTTTCTAGTCAGTATTAAACAGCTGCGCAAACAAAAAAATGTAGGCGTAAAATAGATAGAAATACATTTTTGAGCAGGAAGGTCATTGCAACAATAACTGAGCTTGGCAGTAAAATATTTTATAATATTTTATGTTTTTTTAAGCGGCTGCCAGCGAGGACTACAAAGAGAAACAATACTGTGTCATTGGTAAGGAGTGTGTGGTTGTGTGTCAGTACACAAGGACCTACGTTTGTTTGAGGTCCTTTCTTTTTGTTTGCCATGTTGTTGTTCTTCCTCTAGTGAGACTTGAGTGCAAGGGCTTTAAGTCCGCAGAGCACAGAGCAGAATGTGAGCAATAAAAAATGAGAAACACACATAGAGTTCACATAAAAACGGAGAACTGGCACAACAATGTGTATTACTTTGTTCGCACAACAATTCCACAAAGGAGCATAACTCATATAAACAGACTCACACACTGTATCCTGTGTGCCAATTTTGAGGATGAAAATTTTCAACCGAAAATTCATGGCAGATGCCGAGGTGAAACTATGCAAAAATTATGATTATGCAGAAATTATGTGTTTGTTTTGATTAAGCTCGGCAGAGCGGTGCCGAGCATATCCTGTATCCAGCATTATCCTTTGCCAACCCTCATCAATGTGCTGGCTAAATTATTTGTTTGTTTTTTGTCGCTCCGCTGGCAAACTAAATGGTTTCTCTGTTCGGCGTCGGCGTCGGCATCGGTTTCTGGTTTGGTTTCGGTTTCAGTTCTCGGACAAGGGCAATTTTCTATTTTATCTGATTTTAAAGTTTGCAAATTATATGAGCATATCCACCTCCTATGGCACTGGGTGTGTGTCTGTGCTTAAAACCGAGCTCAGTCGCTCTGCTTAAACATTTGCGTAACCTTTTTTATCTAAACGACTAATCCGAACCAGAGGGCAAGGGCCCACAGCGTTAATTTTCATAAAATACCAATTTCTGTATTTTTATCTGGCCAAAGTAGTCCGAGAGGAACTTCTCTATCCACGGCTTACCTTAGAATCCAGCTCATCCGGCACTCTCATACAATTATATTTTCTAATCTGCATCGGTGAACATTTTCCAGAAAATTATAAATAAATTACCTTCTATCTTGGTGGGGGTATGTGGGAATGTGGGAGGTGGATGCTCGAGAAATTGAGCGGGACATTTTCAAGTTTTTAGCATTTAAGCTTTTCGCATTTTCCTTTGTCAGAGCCGTCGTGATGCCTGGGCATGCTGTGAGCACATTTAATTACTGCTACTTTTCTCTATGAAAATATCCTAGAGACAGGAGGCGAGACTAGACATTAAAAACGACAATTTATCTAAAAAGTAATTAAGTGCTCAAGTCACACAGACTCGCACTCGCCGGAGCAACAGGACAAACATGGGAATTGGCATTGGCAAAGGAAGCGGAATTATATATATATATATTTTTATATATACATATACAGGGAGAGACTGCAGGTCAAAAGGGGAAGCGGGACAGAAGGGGATTGAGCCGGAAAGAGCCATGGACAGAAGCAAGTGAACTGCATGTCCCGGGGAGAAATTTATTCGAGCTTATGTGGGTTACAGTGATTGCTCCCAAAAGAGGAAAATGTCTCAACAAGAAATTTTATTAAATTAAAACAAACTTAATTTGATTTAATTTAATTAATACCTTTTTTCAGTTAAACAATCTTCCTATTAACGGAAGTAAATTGTGTTTAACCAAGTACCCTACTGTATCATAAATTTTATGCCAGACTGTGGCCCGAGTGTGCTGATTTAGTTCAATTTATATGAGCCGTGCCGGGTGCAACTGGCAAAGCCAAAGGGTTAGGATCCTTTGGGGCGACGTCTGACACAGGACAAGGGACAGAACACGTATTTGCTTAGTTTATTTTAAATGCCATTTAAGCTGATGCTCTCGACTAATACCCTAATGACATATTTTAATGTCTGTCCTGCCACATACGAGTGTCGTAATTCTTAATTCGAAGTGCTCTTTCTCGGCTCCTTGCCTTTTTTGTGTTCATGTGTGTGTGTGGGAGCAAGGACTTCTTGCTGTTGGTGTCATTTGATTTATGGGCTTTAAATTTGCCAGAAAATTTCCATTTCTGGGAGCTGCAGATTTGTCTGCAAATTGAACGAATTGTGCGAGGAAAGTGCTCGTAATTAATAGCATTACTTTAATGGAATGTTGTCAACAGCATTTTACAAAGAAGGTATTAAGTGCGCTTAACTTCAAGGTATTCCAGTGCCATTTATTTGATGTTATCCCCGCCAAACACCCACCACCCCGGGCCTCTGGGCTCATAAAAGGCAACCACTGCAAAATGATGGCGCGACAAAAATGAAAATTGCAGCAAAATGCCGAAACAAAGGCGCGCTCGAGGAAGCAATTCATTTATTTAATGTTTCCTGCATTTTATTGTCGTTCAAAGTAAATTTACGACAGAGTCGTCCTGGAAAAGGGAAGCAGATACAAAAAACAAAGCCCGAATCGGAATCACAATCCGAATTCCGCGGAAATGTTTAGTGTGTATTCTTGAGGGCGGACAAAAAAAGAGGGTTTGGCACTCACCTCACCTTCTAAGTTTTTTTGTGCACAGGCATTAATAGACAAAGGAGAGCACACCTGACAAAAGCATTTCGATTGTGAGTTCTGCCGCAGTGCGCAGTCCCAGGGCGGGCTGAGGTATTTTACTTTACTATATGGAAATCATTTTGCATGTCTGGAGGTATATTTCCTGTCCACTGAACTGGCATTCATATTCACATTTTCATGAAGCCAGCACTCGCAACTCCCAGCACTGAGAGTCTCACACATGGAAAGTTCCATTGCAGTTTGGCATTTAAGGAGCTTTAAGACTCAGTTAACATAGTTGTGCTGATTTTCCTCCGAAATCAGGCATCCAATTCAGTTCTGTCTCATTGGGGATGCAATAAGCCCATATAAGCCCATAAAATTGCACCTAATGAATGCATCTGGTGAGATGGGGAGACTGTGTGCAATTACTGAGCAGCCTCGGGACAAGTGCAGCGATGATAATATTTTGCCAACCCCAAGCAGGCTGTGAGTAACACAATTTCCATAATACAAATTGCCGACTTATTAGACCGAGGCCCAAGCACATTGTATGGCCCATATAAGCCATAGCATACCCACTTGAGCACGCAGCCGAGCAAAGCACCAACTTGGCTAACAGAAACCCTAAACTGAACCGAACTCGAACCCAAGCCCAGGCCACACCCACAGACAGCCTACGAGGTCTTAAGTGCTTATTAACTTCCGCACACTTGAAGGCACAATTATGAAATCGTCAATTTAAACCAGACACGCAGCAAACACGCACATGGGTCATTTCAAGCTGGGGAGCTGGGTAACTGGGGAATCGAGGGGATAACCTAATCGGGGTCCGGCATAAACACCTCCGAGTGGAGTCCTAGCCGGGCTTATACAAATACACGAGACGTGACGCACACCACGGCGTATGAGTAATAACTCTAGACAAGCGGAAAATTAATACCACTTGAGGCCATGACATGTCAATGCTCCACAGACACAGCTTCGGCCACTGCCACAAATATACACAAAGGTGTAATTTGTTCTCAGTGTCCATCTCTGTCTTCCTATCCCTCTCTAATTCCCTCTGCTGTCTCTTTCTTTGAGGGTCGTGTATGAGCGTATGAGTGTTTCTAGCTGCCCAAAGACCCACGCGGCCATGTTGCTGAGCCCAAATGTCCGAAATCTGTGTGTTTACTGCCATATTAGTTTGGCTCGGGGCAGAAACTCACACAAAATGCTCTCGATAAGCGGAGAGACTTAATTAAATTCCGTCGACCAATGAAAGGTGGAAACGGAAATGGGTAACAAGTAAACAGAAGCGGAAATGAAAGTAACAGGGTGATTGTATTATGATTTATAGAAAACATTTAATATGAGAGAACTCTGATGGATTCCGGCTACACTCAATTAATATTCAATACTTTTCCATTTCAATCAGGTAAAAGCCAAGTCGCATAACGTCTCTTTATTTGTAAAAAAAAGAAAGCTGGCCCAAAATTCATCATCGGTGTCGCTGCCAAAGTTAAACAATGCGACGGTGATGGATTCTTTTTTGATAAAATATTAAAACAATGTGCTGGGCTGACTCACCACTCCCTCGCCGATGTGGTGCACGGTGCAGGGCACATGGGCGGTGGCACCAATCTGCGTGGTCACCACCGTTGAGTTCTCGGTGCCAAAGTACATGGGTGTGCCGAACACACTCTCCACGCCCCCGTCCAGCCCGTTTGCGGCCTCCAGATGGTTCTCCACGGGCTCGGGTCGGTGTATCGGTATGGGATACGGCCCGGCTGTGTCTTTGGCCTGGATTCGCGAGTGCGATTGCTGCTGGGGATGCTGGAGGTGAATGGATGTCGAGGAGGTGCTGTCCTGCAGGTGTGGGCCTGTTGGCTGGCGCTTGTCATCGATCAAGTTGTTGGAGTCGAAGCTAGTGATGCTGCTCCCACTGCCAGACGAGGTGGCGGATCCAGATCCTGGACTTTGGGCAAAGGGCAGCGGAACGGGCACTGGCTCCAGATTCGCCTTGAGGCCCTCCTCCTCCTTTGTCTGCGACATAATTAAATTTTGATTTATATGCCTCAGTAATGGCTCACTGGCTGACGTCGCCATTGTGGAGGATTCTGATTTTGCGCCCTCCGTGGCTCCGGCTCCGGCCGCTGCTGTTTGGTCTGCGGAAAATAATAGAGAAATGGGAAATGAGACGGTGGTGGTAGTGACATTTTAAAATGTGTTAATATATGCGATGCTCTCTGGCGCCGCAACAGTTTGTCGGATAAACAATAACAGCATGAAGTCAATTAATTTGAATGAGCAGCAAACGCGTGCGTATACGTAATATTTAACAGCGGATTTTCATTAGCCCGGGCCCTGAGTAACTGACAGAACTAATTAAGTTGCTGACCTTGCTAGGTTTCCATAGGAATTTCGTAAGCTACTTAATGGCAGACAGTAAATAGAGCAATTCTAGGGGGTTGAGTAACATTTAATTATATTATTAAGCTGTTTAACCTGCTTTAAAGTTTGGCGTAAAAGTTTGTTGATTTATTTATTATGGACAAAACAAATTTGGTTGTCTCAAAAGCCAGGCTTTTCCAGCTAAGCACTTCTGTTTATGTCGTGCACCCACGCAAAAACACAAACGAGTCTGAAACACCGTGAAATACACCCACAGAATCCACCAACCACATTACATATTACCCGTTTCGGGGTTTCAGGGTTTCGGGGCTGTTATTTGCTTTGCGTAATTTGTGTAAAATTTGTTCGGCCAACAAAATAATATTTCACAATTAAAGGTAATTGGTTTTGGCAAACATGCTTGGGTTTTGTTCAGCAGTGTCAATTATGCGAATTTGCTCGGCTGCAAATTCAATTATGGGAATGCATTTGGGGCGAGGCTTTTGATTTTGATTTCTTGACCGCAAAATTTGCCGAAAATATTGATGTTTGCGTTTCATTCGGGCTCGTCCATGGAGACATGTTTACCATTGTCCAACTGTTCCCACCATAAATATATGGTAATCATTGAAAATTTATCATGTTTGGCCTGACGATGATTGAATTTACGAGCCGAGCATGGAGAGCGTGTCCTCGTCCGTGCTGAGTGCTTTGAATATTGCAAAATTAATTAGTTATGGAATTCGCCTGGGGCCTATTGGAAGCATTAGTAGTGGAGCTTACGGAACGACACTTAATTAGCACGTTGCAAAGACGTCAGATATGCAATTAGTTTGAATGGTGGCAAGGTGTCCGTTCTATGGAATGCCTCACACTCGTGCTCAAAACTTAAAAGGAATATTCCTTGAACTCGCATGCCGCAGAGAATTGAAAATCAATTTACCCAGGTGGTGACACATGCGAACAATCGAGTCAATCACTGCAGGTTCTTCTGATTGACACCTTAGAAATCGTTCGAATGCCCGACCAATTGACATGTCGAGAGTGTGTTGCCACAGCAATTTGCAACTGCAGCCGCATAGAGCAGCATCAGAAGATGGAGCTGTAACAGAATTTCTAGAGGTCAGCCGGCATTCAACGATGGCTTCTGCCAATGCCTTTCACACTTTGTGGTTTTTGTATTGTGGCGAGTCCTCTAGTCTTATGAATACGAAGAAGCTTGCCACGAGCTAGGCACTTGAAGAACTAACCTTGACTTGTTTGGTTAAGATGCTCCAAAGTACCAATGTACAACTTTATCATAGCTTGCCCCATTTTATGTCCTGCAAGTATTACAAAAACAAACTTATTATGCTTTACCAAGTGTTTATTTTATATTTTCTCAGTGCATAGCCTGTGGCAACATCCTTCGCTCTGCACGCACAAAACAAACAAATAACCAAATCGGGACAATGCGATTCCTGGTACTCCTGGCTGCTGATGTTGCTTCTATTCCTGCTGCTCATTGGCACGCAGAACTTGGCCAAAACTGAATCGTGGCATTTTCGTCACGTTCGCACGTGACTGACTGCCTGCGACATGCAGCTTTTCCGCTTTTCCGCCCTCCGCACTCCGCACTCCACCGATACTGCACATACGTAAACGTAATCGTAATGGTCGCTGGCAGACCGCAAAACAGCTTCTGAACTAGTTGCCAGTTTCTGGGTCCTGGTGTCCCTGGCTTTTGGCTTCCCTCACTCTTACCACTTTATGTTCCAGCGTAAATTTGCATTCTTTCGATGGTTTGGTCGACTTTGTAATTGAATTTTTCACGGCAAGTTGTTGGGCCACGACTCCAACTCCAATGCCACTGCCGCTGCCGATTCCGATTCCTGCCATCTCCTTCTGCTCATGCATCCCAGATCCGGTTTCCTGTTCGTATTTTTCTTGTTTCCGGCGGTTGGGTTTTTGGATTTACAATCGCTCCGCATTGTGCAACCGCTGCTCTCTGCGCATTGTCAACAGCAAAACCCAGCAGCAGCACCACGGCCAGGACCAGGACGATGCCGAGGACCACAAACATGTTGCAGCAGAGCCATAGAGATAGAACAACATTTTTGGTGGGATTTGCCAACTTTTCGTTTCGTTTGGCGAAACATTCGCAATTTGTGTGCGTTGGCCAAAGTTTCATCAGCTTCGCATACCTCCTCACTCGCTCTTTCTCTGTTTGCGACGACATTTTAATCAAAAGTTCGCTGCAAGCTGCGTGATTCCCGCATCCCATACCCCACCAGCCATCTAGCACCCACAGTATCCCCATTATCCTCAATCCACCGCCATCCCACGACTCAACTAATATCAATGATTTCTCATGCGCTTGTGCCGACGCCCCACTGTGGCAGTGCTGGAATATTTATGCTGCTTGCGACGACATCGTGGCTTGACATTAATTAAGTTTGCTTGCACACACACGGCGTATGCGTGATGCCAAATGGTCGAGATTCCAAAAATCTTGTTTTTTTTGTCGCTAGAGAGCACCACAATACGTGGAATTCGGGCAAACAAAATACGGGTTATGCATTAATTTAAGTCATCATCTAATGTGTTGTTATACAAACATTAAATGCTAGAATTTGACACAATGCAATTTAATTGCTTCAATGTCGTTACCAGGCCATCCATTAGATTAAAGGCAGCAGAAAGCAAAAAAAAGAGACATTTGCAAATATCATTATGATAATTGTGCGGGCGAACGACATCCTGTCTGTCGGTCTCATTAATTTCATTTGATTTCATATTTAATGTTAGTAACATTGTATGCATAAATTTCTCTAATTAAAACACAAATAAATTCCGCACACATTTCCTCTCGGCCATCCATCCCTTGGCCCAGTAACCTGGTTTAATTTATTCCATTTGGTTGTAACTAAATTTGCGGTCGCAGTTATTTAAGGCAACTTTTTATGGTCATCGAGTGCACAGGGACAATGGGCCATAAAACATCGACGCTTGCAGCCAGCGAATTGAAAAGTTTTAATTAAATGTATGGCCGAATGCTGAAATTTATCAATTAGAATTAGAGCCATTACTCCCAGTACTCCCAGTTCGCCATCCAGCTTCCACAATTTCAGCAAAAGTGAGCGGGAAAATTTTAAAGTAAACTTTAGCGTGGCGGAGCAAAAGAAGTGGGAGCTGGAAGTTTGGTTCATTACCAAAGTTTTCCGTTTGCGGATGGCTCGGCGCTTTCTGTTTTTATGGCAAATATTGTTTGTTGTTACAGTCAGAATGTTTGCATTTGACACTTGGCGGTAATTTGTGTGTAAATGCGTCAACTGGCCCCTGACCTCAAGCCCGAGGCGGCGAGGCCTTCTTGTTCGCCGGATACGGGAGTGCCAGTAGAAACTTTTGTTACTCCCGCTGCCATTTAATTGAAATTCTACAAAATGGCCCACGCATGCCTGGCCTCATCGGATGTCTGGGCTCTTTGAATATTTTGAATGCCTTCAATGCTTCGGTTTTCTTTGTAACTTTGCAACTTTCCGCAAAGTTGTTCGTTACAGGCAAGCGATTCACTTTGCGACTGTCATAATTTTGATGGCCGGAAGTGTAAAATCAGATAAGTGCGCCACACACTTGCCGCAGACTATTCCCCCATTTATTTTCCAATAAAGCCAAGCAGCAGCAGCAGCCGGGGCGTGGCCATCATTAATGTCGCGGATCCAAGAAAGGCACTAACGCAGAGCGCAATACTCTCATAAAAAGGCATTAAGACCAAAAGTAAAGTGCCTATTTAAGTTGAGTCATAAAATTGGCTTTCTATCTCGCCCCAGCAAAGAAGAGGCAATTCCAAGACGGGCCAACAAGAGAGAACAGGGCAGAATGCGAATGCCTAGACCCGGGCATTCTAATTTTATTTATTTTATTTCAATTCGTGTCTAAGTGCCCAACTTGGAGCTTTCTTTGCTGGGCCACAATATGCTCTCATCCTCCTTATAAATTAGACCAAGTTTTCAGTAGTTGGCAGTGGGAGGAGTGGCTATGGGAAAGCTAACGCCGGGCTAATTGCGGATTCTTGTGAGGGGAAGCTCCCTTTGTCAAGGCCTGATGAGTGCCTTAAATTTTCTATTTTTAGTCGCTATTTAAACCGCAGTTCATGGCCCTATAAATAATGGTCCAAATGGGACGCCATTGTTCCCATACACGCATATTCGGATATATGTATATATCCGGGAGGATTCATAAATAATGGCAGCCGAATAAATAAGGTACAAATCTGCTTCGGCGGGACTTGTCTGCCAAAAACCTTGATCCAAAGCCATGTGAAATCGAATGGAAAGGTGGCAAACAGGAAAGAATTCATATAAATGTCCTGGAAAATGGTTTCTTAGCATAATGAAGATTTATACTTTGAAGAGCCACAGCCCCGTCGATATTAAGGGGATTTGGCAAATTGCAAGCACGTGCGAATTAGAATAGGAATGCGGTTAGATCCGGGGGCCAAAAGCCAGAAATCCAGAAAGCCGAGGGCCATGGCTGGGTGAGCACTTAGAATAGTCGAACCTTTTGGCCCTCTAATAAATGTTTAGTATCTGGCAACGGCGGGAATGTGGCAAGTACATAAAATTAAATTGTCAACTTCCGTAATGTGGAGGCATAAACAGCAAGCACTCGCCCACTTCCCGACTAACTGACCGAAGTGGCATCAAAGTGAAAATATTATTAAACGAAAAATAAAGCAAGCAAGAGAACCCAACACCCCAACACGCAGACAAAACAACCAAAACAGGAATTTTAT